TTTATTACATTATGATGTGTATTTCAGTCTGTGCTGTTGCTATTTGTCTTTAAAATGTTTGACAATACATCCATGAATTACTTTTATAAGCTTTTCTACTTCTAACATCTAGACATATGAATGATTCCCTGCATATATTATAGAAAAGCATGAAACAGGAAAAAATTCTTAAGTATTTCTTATTTGAGTATGTGCCTGAAGAATTGGGTTTTATCACTCTTTAAACACTCATCAAACAAATGATTTATTCATGCTTAATAAAGCATCCCAGACTTGCAGGTTTCATTAGCTGAAGTTTGAGTGTTTTCTGTTTGCCATAATAATACTTTACATTTATACAACCATTTTCATTCAAAAGTATTTCAAAGTGCTTTGCATAGTGTGTATATAAGGGATAAATTAACCAACCAGTAAATTAGAGTTACCTCTGGAGTGAAGCTCTGCAGAAGCTTTTTGGCAAGAATCTTGTATGGGTGTAATTTTTTTTTTTTTTTTTTTAATGAAAAGTCATTGATTTCAAGGAAGCAGAGCATACAATTTAATTAAACTATGTTTTATAGAGGGGAAAAGAGTCTTACAGCTAGGGCACTTGACTCCAACCAAGAAGTGGTCTCTGTTACTTGCTCCTGCCACAGACCTCCTGTTACCTTCAGGCAATTTGCTTGGTCTGATTTGGGCCTTAAATACAGTCAAGATAACTAATAATTTTACCAACTCAGCTTTGGTGACTGTTCATGTACACAGTTAATAACTTGAAATGCAGGGAAGTCACAGTTAACTTTAGTCACCATTTAGCAATCAAAAATCCCTCTTCCACTGACAATAAGCTAATTTATATGATGCTGTATTTACTGTGTGTTAACGAAATAGTTACTGAAGATCATCTGCCAGAAGTCTGAACCATCAGCTATGCATCTCAGAAACAATACTTGATTTATTCCAGTTTTTGACAATTTTGATTATATTGCATGAACCTCAAACTGAAGCTGTTTCTCAGTTTATGAAGCAGTAAACACAATGTCTTCAAATCCTGATTGGAATTTCTTGGTGTTGTTTAACAGAATAAAGCTTTTCCTTGCATGTCATAAGATAGTTGCTATAAGAGTGCGCATGAATTGAGAGACTATTCTGTTCTGTATTAAAACCAAGAGATGACAGAAATTGTAGCTTAAAAAAAAAAAAAATCCAACTTGGACAGATTATTCTCCTATGTCTTGAATGTAAAGCACTACAAAATATGTCAGTCCTTTTTTATTTCATTTTTTTTTTCTTGAATGGAGCTGGTAGTATTGGAATCTCTCCAAGCTAAACAGTGCAAAGCAGCAAGTTGGTCAGGGTGGGTAAAGTCATATACCAACACGAGATTTTTTTCTTTCAAGGCTGGCAGGAATAAGAACATTCTTCAAAACTAGAATAGGAGCTATTTTGCCTGTCTTTTGACACTCATGTTTTTTCTGGCATCACCTCAGCATGCTGCTGCAGTGTTTGTAACCACCTTGCTGTGATTTACAACATATCTATTATTTTTGCTTAATCTGCATTTGGTTATTCAGTAGTTATTTCTAACTCCCACAAGGAATTGTACCAACTTCACAACTGATTTCTAGTACAGTGGTGTAATGAATTTTCAGTAACTACTAAAGGTGTAATAGGCTGAACAAAGGATGTCAGAATTTAGTCCATGGTAACTTCAGTGCAGCTGTTCACATGAGTAAATGTTTGCAGAATTGAAACTACCTTCCTCACTTTGTGCAATGAACAGTCATCCAATAATCCTCGTGACATATTCTGCCCTTCTGAAAGAAAGTTGTGCAAGTAAAGAGTATGTCTGTTCTATATACTTAAGTTTCCTATCAGTACAATATAACAGTACTCAGTAGGATAGCTTTTCTTCAATGATAGCTGCGCTGTTGTTCATGGTTACTGGAATAAGTAAACAATCTTTTTGGACATTAGTGGTGCTTCATATTCAGTCTGATCAGAATGTTAACTTGACTTAGTAACCTCAGAGCTTACTTCAATGTACTGTGTTCTTGCTGAAAATGTTCCCTGCTTCTCCTATACGAGGCACAAGATAACTTCAGAACATAGCCACCTATGTGGCAGTGGAAGAACTATCCTCTTTTAATTATCTGCATAAAAAAACCCCATATCCCTTCACCCCCCCAAAAAAAAACTATAAAGGTTTTTAGTTGCTCTGTATTATTAAAATGAACTACACTCAGAAAAAAATCATTCAAAAAGGACTGTTTTTTGGTAACGAGTCTAGTAACCAGCTATATGCAAGCTACATGCAGCTTGCTGTGTGATATCATAGGAGGAAAGAGCCCCCTAATGGCTTCAAGTTATCTAGAAAATAAAAATAAATTTCACTTTCTGAGTTCAAACTAGAAAGCAATGCAAAATTGATTTCAAAAAGGCCAGATTAGCCTTCTTGAGAAAAATGTGATACAACTCATGTGAATGAGTTTAAAGTGTGGCAAAAGGTCCAGATTAACAGCATTGTATACTTGAAAGAAAATGCACAATTTGTAATATGTAAGCTCTTTAAAGCTTTCTGATTTTAGTTTTTTTCAGCTATTTTAGCTGAATCTGACAAAAGAAGATGCTTATACTGTGACTCTTTAATGTGGAAATTAATAACATATTTCATGAGTATAAGTTTAACTAATTGTTTGGGCTTCTGATTTTCCTTTCTGTTTTTTTGTTTGTTTGGTTTGTTTTTTTAATAGTGTTCAAATCGAATATTCCCTTTGCATAAATAATTATTTTTTTTAGCATTATTTGGAGTTTCATGGTTAGAATGTAATCTGAATGTTACAGATACTAATCTGGAGAGGATCATATCACTATCTTTGAAATCAAAGAATTAGTATGATTTTATTTCCAATCACAATATTATATGGTACATTTACAGATCAAAGGTATAGTAAACAAAGCTTTTTGGAGAGAGAGTTGAATAAGAGCTGTAAGAAAGCTGTCAGGCATAAGTAAAGGATTATTTTTGCAAGTCAAACTGCATATGAAATATTTTGAGACTGGTCTTAGGTTTTGTAAGGGCACAAAGTGAATTAGACATCCAATTATCTTAGCTCGTTAGAAAGTTACGCCTACATTTGATAGATCTAACTCTCAATATCCAGCTCTTTGTCTTACTGTTAAAATTTTCAGTGAGTTAATTACAATGCAAAGGGTTTCTCTTCATTATTTATGGTCAGATTCTGACACTCTGACTCCATACTTGATACATGCAGCCCTCACCTCTGGCAGTATTTTATAGAGTAAAATACCACTGAATGAAAGCTAAGGTGTCAAAATGTGTCCCCAAGTGTTTTTCTTGCTACCTGGGAAGAAATTCAGAAGGAAACACTGAAATTTCTGTCATGGATCAATGTTGTATCTATAAAACAAATACATTTTTCACAGAGAAAATACAAAGAAATAAAATACCACAGATGCTATAGTTTAAGTAAGCCTTTGGTTTTGGTCATCAGCTTACTTCTTTTGCCAGTGCTTATTCATCTAATACATTGTAGAAGATCAAGTTGTTTCTGAAGCCTTGCATATTTTGTTCATGTGGTCACTTAGGCACCCTTTCAAATGGCTGTTAGGTTTTTTTTAAAAAATATATCTGCCTAAAGTCTCCAACATGTATAATGACTTCTACAAATTATAAATTATATTTTGGGTAACTGGGCATTTCACTTTCACATTTGGGATTTTTGAGACATCATAAAGCATTTGAGTATGGTGCTTTATGAAAATTTATAAAATATATCTTGGTAGAGCAAGAGAAGAAAGTGCTCTTCTGTATTTGTGATGTTTTTGTTATTGGATAAAATGGATTACAGTCAGATGCATAGTCTAGCAGCAATAGCCTGCTATAGGCAGTTTCTTAACTAGACCAAGCATTGGAAAGTTGCACTTGACTGGGTGCAAATCTGCTTAAATGCTTGGGTTAATAGACTGATGCCTCTACTTCACTCAGAGGGAGTAATCACAATAGCTGGCATACGAAAAATTCCTTTCAGTTTGGAGCAAGGAGCAGAGTGAACAAATTGATCATGAAGGTGGTGCAGATTGTCACAGTTGGAAAGAATGTGTTACTAAAGTGACAGTGCTGTCTTCTTACTGTTATGCTCCCATGGACTGTAAACCCCAAGTCAATCCACTTCCTGACTTGCTACGTAACCAAAAGCTGGGTTAATTCAGTTTTAGCCTATTAATCACAGCAACCTATCACCTGTCACAGCAAATCCACTTCCAACACAGCTAAAGGAAATATGGAGAAAGTTTATGTGGAACTAGGCAGTTAGGAGACAGTAGTGTCAGTGTCACATCAAAACAAGCAATCAGTCCATGCAATGACTGCTTCGAACATGCAGCTAAGTATAACAGAACATCCTAGGTTTCATATTCCAGGTCATAAGCCTTGATCTTCGCTTTGGATGCAGAATGTTAGCAATAACTACTGTATCTATAAAAAGATGGCAGTCTAATGCCATATTATTTAAGGCAGATCATGTTTGCGCAGCAGAGGTAAGCTTGCAGTCAAAAGACAGGTGCTGTTTCAAACTACTGACAAGCACTGAGAATTCCTCCAGGGAAATGTTCTCTCTAGCTAGCTTCACAACACGTACAATAATGAATTAATAATATGAGAGAGCTTGTGTGCTGTTATTACTCCAGACTGCTTAGCATATGTGGGACAAGTTGCATTAAAACATCACACAAGTAGTTAGAAATCATCTCTTCTGGATGTTTCATTCCCATTTACTTGAAGGGTTAAGCATTATAAATACAATGCACAAAATAAATCCTGTTCTTAAATGGCTTTGGGTGCACATAGTATTTGATACATATCATCTGTGAGTGAAAGAATTTAAGTGCAATAAATGCATTATGTAAACAGATGCCAAAGCGTGTATTTAACATGCAAGATACAAAAATAATAACTGCTTTTTTTAGCTTCTCAGAAAAGCAAAGGATAATTTCCTTACCTGGAAGATCAAACTCTGTATATCATCAGTGCTATGTGAGCTAAGGGGACAGAATGAATTTTTGTCTTCCGTAATAAGCCTTTCTTCAGAGATGCAGAACGTCAAAGATGTAATTATAAGTAAAATGAACTATTCCAATGTCCAGTCTGTTATCAATTGCACTGGATTAGAGCTGGCATCCTCTTGCAAATGAAAAAATGTAGCTCAGCAAGTTGTCCACTGAAGGAGCTCGATATCAGCGTTATCAGGCACCAGCAGTCACATACTGATGCTATAGTGTGTACAGTCTCCCTCTATTGCGCGTTTTCTCTTGCTTCCTCTCCCTCTCTCTCACCCTGATGTTCACTCAGCTCTGAGTCTGAGCTCCTTCTGCTGCTGTATAATCAATCTAGCCTGTCTGAATCTAATAGGCCTCTATTTAACCAGCCAATCAATAGCACAGATTCCGCTGCTGCTCCCCAGGGTCTTTTCCAGGAGTGGTACAAACAATAAGAGTTTGGCCAGCAATTTAACTAAGTATTTTTCATTATTTTATCTCCCTTGAAGAGAAATTGTTTAAGAGAGCACAGGTTCAAAGCTATCTTTCTCTGTGTTTTTTTCAGTAGAGATATATAAGCATGCACATTGTACTGCACTAGCATTCTGTACACTTTTAAATTTTTACCTATTTTATGTGGTTTAGAATACATATTTAAAGAAATACAAAAGAAAAGAAAATACATACACACTCCTTCCACCCCCAATCTAGAAAGGAACCTGCATGTTAAGCCTCAGGCTTTATGTTCTGAAAAATCCAGTACCAAGTTTTAGCTTAGAGCTGTTTATGGCAAGTGTGGAAATTAAGCATAAACCAAGAAGCAGAAGAATTGTGCTTCACAGACTATGATTCTAACACCTGTCATCTTGAACTATCTTTCCTACACTGTTTATGTTTCAGCTTGTATGATTTTTTTTTTTTTTTTTTTTTTTTAAGACTGTCTGTCTGGAAATAACAGTTTCAGATATGGGAGGAATTGGAGATGCAATATCTATTCAGCAACAGATTCACATGGGACAGCTTTTTCTGCTAAAACAGTGATCAAAACTAAATGAAACATGGAGTTAGCAACAAGTAGCTGTTGTGTTTGAAAAGCATACCCTGTCTTGTACTGCACCGCATTACCCACATATACAGAGTAGACTGTCCCTTAGTAGCTAAAAAACAAAATTTCAGGATGGATCATGTGCAAAGTGAGTATTTTTATCACAACAGACTGACATTTTTTAAGCTTTTTTTTTTTTTTTTTTCAATATATGAGCAGTAAATCATAAGAACATTGATTTGTAACCTGGTCATTCTGGTTGCAGTTCAAAATTATGAACAAACTTTCATGCTGAAGAAAACTGTGGGCAAGTACCTACCCTACTTCTGAGTCCAGAGCGTAGGTTTGGTCAGTCACAGCTGCTTCCATGTCTCAATATATTGACACAATTATATTGCTATTCTATCATTTGAAACAGCAGCTGTAACAGAAGAGCACCATGAGTACAATGCATGTGATGGTCTCCTAGAGAACATACTGTCCCATTCTTAGTGGTGCCCTCATATAAGATTCTTGCAGATATTAATCTGATAGTTGCCAAAGAACCCAGAAACAAAATGAGAGCTTTGATTTTCTACCTCTTCAGTGTTTGGACTGTCTATCAGTCTAAGGATCTCTCAACACATTCATTCCATTAAGACTTTGTGCCTGGGATCCTGTCCTGAGAACTGGAACTTGAAGTCCAACTGTTTATTCTATGGCTAAAATTGTCTCCGTAGAGAGTTAGCATAAATCGAACATCTTACTGAAGTATGAGCACTGAAGTCTAACATTAGAATCCGACAGAACCACACAAGCAAATAGTTATACTGATAATTAAACTGAAGTTTCTTGTGACTACCTGGCTGATAGGGGTTTCTACTTGTCTCACAGGATTTATTTTGCAGACTCTTAGGAGTGGTCAGAAAGGGTAGTTCCTTTCCAGTCCCTTAATCGGAAAATCCCCCATTAAACATGTTTACAGAGCCCTATCAGACGGTTTATGGTCTACATAACCTACCTAGCAATCCAGACTTCTTGGATAAACAGAAGCTAGGGCTACCAAGTCATCAATTTTATGTTATTAGTCTCCTGAAAATTCTAGTCAAAGACTGAGAGGGAAAGAAAAAGACCTACTATGAAACTGAAGTTTGCAGCACAAGAAAGAAATATATGGTGTTCATAAACAATAAGGGATACCTCTAAGCCTATTCAGAGATACAGAGCTATCAGGAAAACATTCCTGTTTAGTCTGAGTGTTTGTACAAGAATATGCATAAGATCATATTGAGGCAGAAAATAACAATATGTTTATGCACTTGAATCTCTTTCAACAAACATACAAAAAAAAAAAAAAAATCTGGGAAAAAACCCAAAGAAGTCACAGTATCCACAGCAAGTTCAGTTCATCCATTCTTAATGTGAAATCTCATAGTATCAACTAGTAATCTCTTATTCCTCAGTTGCATGTGGAATACCTCATTAATTGAAGCCTACAAAACATATGTAACAGATGTCTCAAGTGTTTTGAGTGGTCTGCATCAACTAAGTGATGTTCATGGATAAAGAAAAAGATTAAAATGGGTAAATAAAAATGAAGTTGGATATAATTATGGTTGTACAATTGTATGAGTGAAGGTCTGGTAGTGAAATTGTGTAAGGCCTGTATAGTCCTACGTGTCAGAAGAAAGGCAATCGGGATGTGTGGTCTTCTGCCCTTGGGGGGAAGGCAGGAGCAGGGAGGGGTAGGGCAGTGCAAAGTTCATTCCAGATCTCAGAGAGAAAGGCCCAATAACAAATGGTGTAACAACGTAGCTGTTTTAATAAGAGAGAATAAAGGGGACTATAGATAGAGAGTAAATCTTGCACCCCTCATATGCTGGCAACCCTTCTTTTATGCAGCACAGAGCATAGCTGGCTTTTCTTGCAGCATGCTGTGCGGATCCCATCCACGCAGAGGTTCTTTTCTCCCTCCCATGCTGTTGAGCCCTTTATTTTGTGTAACAAACAGAATCACATGCCATCTCCTGACAGGCTGGGATGTCACCTCTGTCATAACACCCACCAGCACCGCACAGGCTGGCATGGGGCATGCCAACAGGTTCCCTTAAAGCAGCTGCTTGTGCTCATATATGGGCTGCTCAAGCCCTAAGTACGGGGCCCAATAGAGCAGGCATGGCTTGTCCAGGATCACTAACAATGAGGATTACAATGTCTTCCACAAGGCTCACAATACAGATGGGAGGAACACTGTTGCAGAATTCAGAGTGGAAGGAGCTTACTTTCCAAAGGCCCTTCTGAAATTTTTCTTCCTGACAAAGTCCCAACTTCTTACTGCATCTACTTTAGTTTAACCCATGCAAACCAGTGGTTATATGTGAGGTACTATTACAAAATTATACATTGTGCAGTTTGGTATTTTAGTGTTTGGTTTTTGCTTTTCAGCTGAAGGCAGGACTGTCAGGGTCACATATTTAAAAAGAGGATGACTAAATCTCAGGAATTGGCCTTTTGTGCAAACATTGAGTTAATGATTGAAAAAATACTGAAATTTTAATTGTACTTTGGAAATACAAATGTTGACATTCAGTTGTCTGCAGGGTAGCTTTAGGTGCAACGTATGTTTTATGGAACTTGTGTGTATTAGAACACGCTCATTGAATATATGTTAAAATATCTCTTTGGCCTTCATGTTGTTAGTGGAATATGATAAAGTGCTTTAAGAATGTATAGATACAGTGTATCACAGCATGATGATTTAGGACGGCACAAATGTATCTTCAGTGGATAATATAACTGATTGCTATCTAGATAAATAGATGTTTAATACTGCAGTGTTTAATATTGAGACCAGTGTTTAAGCTTGAATCTTTGAAATATTGAGCTAAACAATGTCAAAGTAATTTAAAATAAAAGCCATACATACTCTAGTCAGAAGCCCGGGGCATCCACCTATTTTTTGTTTTATTTTGCTTGGTTTGGGGAAAAATAAGCTGCGATTATGTCATAGAACAATTCTGCTTGTGAGTGCTGTTTTTCTATATATTATTAAGTGTAATTCTCTATGAGAATTTGGTTTTCACTATTTCAGATTTAATTAACAAAGAGGAAATATACGTTCTTCCTACCTCATGATTCCAACAATAATCAAGGTAGTTATTCTGTAACCAAGTAATCAAAGGATAGCCAGAATATGCAGGTCTGTGAGCCTAAATCTTGTGAACATCTAATGATGGGATAACAGATGTTGCCTATTCATAGAGGTGACTTTGACGGATTCCCTCATGACAAAAATAAAAATAAAAGTCAGGGTTGTACATTTTACACAGTTCCCTGGAAATAATTAATTAAATGGGATTTCTACATTGAACCTAAACTCTGGTTCTATTAATTGTACATTTGCTGAGTGATATTTTACTGATATAGGTATCATTCAGGTTTCAAGTCCCAGCAAGTCTTAACGGATTCTTAAAATGCTCAGGCTATTCACATGTTGAACATTGAGTACTGCGTACTCAGGTATGCAATATAGAAACCTAAAATATTATTTATAGTTTTACTGATACTTAGAAAAAGTCTTTTCCACAAATGGGGTACAAACCTGTCTTTAAAATATGTTTTAAATGCTTGTATATAAGTGCAAACATACTGAAGGTAGAATTTGGCAATTTAATTTAATTTTACCCTAGAAAAAGTTCCTTTCAGATCCTGAAGGGCATGTTTAGAAAAGAAGCCAAGATACGGGCTATGAGAAATAAATAAAATGGCAAGGCATAGTTTCTTGTGTCTTATATAGTATTTCTTATTATTTCTCATAGAGTAAATAAATATGTTACAATTTTGCCTGATTTTTTTTATTTTTTTTTTTTTTTATTTCAAGCTATAGAAGCTAGTATTTCAGTTTTGTAGGTACTCAATTCAGTTTCTGTAAACATGCTGGAGAATAAGAAAAGGTAAATCACCATTTTTTAAAGACTTTGACTTTAGCCATGAAATTCATGTATGTGAACCTGATATAATGGAAAACATGTACATAAAACACAATATACCTAATTTTTTATCTATTTGAATGTTTTAGTGACTTTCAGGATGAATTTTTCTATAAAAATGAAAACTAATATAAGTGAAATTATTTATCACTGTCAATATTTATTTCATTATATTGTTTCTAGGTCAGACAAATAATTCTCTAGAAAAGGCAGTGGTACTCTATTTGTGAGGGGAAACATATGGTTACAAAACAAATCTTAACATATAGTATTACTAAGGCTATTTTTACCTTCTGCTTCTCCGTGA